CATAATATTTCATATAACCAACCTACACTTACCATGAGCTGTGAGGTGTGAGATGATCTCATATACTCCAGTTAAAGCCACAAATCACTCTTTCAACTTTTGTTTTTGAAAAATCACATTTTTATTGTCTCGTTTCTCATAACAAAATACGTTACCCATACATCCTAAAGCAAGCTCAATCAGAGACATTGCTCTTACCATGGAGATTCAGACAGCATTTTGATGATGAAGATCTGAGAAAAAAGCTTTTTGCCTCCTGAGCAGCCGATATCCATGATTACAACAGAGTTGCCTGGCTTTTAAAGTTTTAGTCATTCAGCTTCATCACTGCATTGAGTAGAATACCGGACTAAAAGTGATGATTTAAAATTTCTCCTTAGCTGTTTAAACACATTTTCAAAATGAAGCAGGCAACAAGCTTAGTGTCAGTTTGAGGAAATATCAATATCAGTCTTTGGATGGATCATGTGTACTCATCATTTTGTGACAAGTTAAAATGTTCACCAAATATCAACGAAGAATTTAATGTAACCACCAAGAACATAACCATGCAACCCATGTGTGGTTTATCAAGGATTTCCACAAACAAAAAAAACACAAATATAAATTCTTACATCCATGCAAAATTCCAAAGCTGTGGACCCAGTAGTTTTTCAAGTTATGGTTTCTTTAAAGTTGATCACGTTACACCAGCTGAGTGATGTCACAGGCAATAAAATGTAACATTAAATTTCTCAGAAATGCTGCTGACACAAACAGTGATTCCTACAGCACAAACTAATAGTAGTATTATTATTATTGTTCCATTTCTGATCACATGGGGGCGCAGCTTCATGGCGGTGCAGTGATATGTGTCCCAATTCTGCCCTCAACCCTCCGATGCCTTGAACGCTTGTGCCCTTTTGCTCATCCTGTGACAGCGTCATAAGTGTTCACTTGGAGGGAGGACATTGGGACCTGGGACCAGTGGAGTGCAATACTGCAAAATTTGGTATTGATCTGATACCAAGTAAATACAGGGCCAGTATCGCTGATACTGATACCGATACCAATACTTTTTACTTAGAAAAGCAGCTTATGCACTTTCATGTAGGGGACAGCAGTGTGTCATGATTTATGAGATGAATCTATCTATCATCAATATGGTAAATCTGAATATATATCAGGACCACTAAGTGATTTTGTGATTTTTGCCTTTCTACTGCAGTTAAATTAGTTAATCAAGTGCAGGTTTAAACCCAGGACGGCAACGTTTTTAGGCAAATAAAAAATATTTTGTTAATACTGTAATGAAGTGAATTTGCAAACATGAATTCTGCACAAAATTACTACTGCAGAAAAGTGAATGTTTTAAAGCTTACAGTTTTCTTTCTTTCAGTCTGGTTTTTGTTCAGAAACAAATAAATAACAAAGCACAACTTCTCCCTTACATTGCACTTCTCTCGCTTTTTCTAAAATAAAGTGCACAAAATTATTACTAGAGAAAAAATGTGTTAGTTTTATTTTCTTCTTTTTCAGTTTTTGTTCAGAAGCAATAACATAACAAAATAAACATTCTCCCTTTCATTACACCTTTTAATAAACAAAGTGCACACAATTATTTGTGAAAAATAAAGTAAATAAAGTGCAAATAACTAAACAAAAGCACAAACTACTATTGGCTCTCATTCGTTGTGTCCAAAGAAATCTTCCCTGAGGCCCCCTTTTGAGCCCTGTCCCCCTGTTGAGAACTACTGCATTATTTTTGTTCAGAAACAATCACGTTTACATTTTCCCCTTTTATTGCACTTCTTCTCTGGCTTACTAACTGTCCTGCTTTCGAGAAAATCCTTTCTGCAGGTACAGATGATGCAGTGACTCCCAGGTGTTTCTTGGCAAGCTTGCTAGAGAGGGGATTGTTGGCTCATTCTTTTCCACCAAAGCTGTGGGTCTTGATCCTGTGGAGTTGGCTTCTCTTCTGAGTTCTGGCGCATTTCAGTTAAGGCATCAGTGCCAGTTGTGCGATGCTGCTGGGATGCAAGGACTTGAGAGTCAAACTCTGTGCATATCTCACCTTTTGCTGCAGATGGGGATGCAGCAGCCCCTGCAGTGGAGAGTGAGGTAGTCGCAGGAGCCATTGCTGAGGCAGAGCTGGAGTTCGAGCTGGTGGCTGAGCTTGAGCTTGGTTCAGGAGCTGATATTAAAAGGGTTGAGGTCTGGTTCGTTGACTGCATTTCAGTGATGAATCGCCTTTTCACAGGTTCAACATTTACCATGTCAAGGTGTTTAGATCTTGTGTCCAGGTAGGTGCTGACAGCAAGACCATGAAGCTTTCAGTACCTCTGAAACGACGTTGGCATTGTGCTGACAGCTCAGCAGCTAGCTTGCTACGTTGACGCTCATTAGATGCAGTTGATCTCAGAAGTAGTCACACCAGGGGAATCACTTTAAAACTCATGTTTTTAGTTGATTTCTCTCTTGTTACTTCTTCAAATGACCTCAGGGCATCAATGTAGAGACTGGACCGGTCTTCCTCACTTAAGCACTCACTTAAGCAAAAACTACAGATTTCCAGGACCTATGCTTGCATTTGCCAGTTCTCACCAACAATATGGCATGAGACAGTTCAACAAGCCTCGGTGGCTCTTGATGTCCACATGTCTGTTGTGAGTACAGCATTGTTTGCACCCTCCAGAGGTTTTTTTCACTTTTGAGCGGCACTCTTCATACAGTGCAGGTATTTTCCCTTCCATTCAACTTTTTCCACTTGGAATCTTGTAAAGTGGATCGAATGTATTGACAAAATTCCTAAAACCTTCATCTTTAACCGCAGAGAGAGGTTGGAGGTCCTTTGCAATCACACTTCAGCAAGGCTGTCTGTAATATCCACTGCTTTTGGGGAATCACCTAGGTGACATGACAAAACAAAGTCTAGGGTAGAGCAACATAAGCATTAAGAGCCATTTTGTCCTTTCAGCAAAAGTCTACTTTGGGAGCCACAACATCTTATGTGCATTTTAACGTCATGGCAATGAAAATGACAATTTGAATCGGATGCTGGCGAGTGAGAAACTGACTTCAGCCTCGTGACTTTTTAGTGTTCGTCAGTTTCTCACTGCAGATTAAACGTATCAGGAAACCAGCTGGAGTGATTATAAACACTAAGTTCATTCATCTCCAAATTATTGATGTTCATCTTAAATCTCTCTCTTTGCCGTTTCGTTAGCTACTAGCTATGCGAGATTGTTGTCTGTGTTGCTATGGTGACCAGCAGTCTGCGCTGATCTTCAGGGTTAAAGGGTGAATTAGCAGTTCTACATTAACTCCAGAGTTTAAGACCATTTATTGTTAAACTGTGTTGAACGATCAGCAGAGCTTTATTTTACTGTAAAGGAGGATTATTTTATTTTTACCTACTAATCTGATTCAGCTGTGGAGCCACAACAGGACAGTAAAAGAGCCGCATGTTGTGAAGCCCTGGTCTATAGCCTATGTACATGTAGCTTCAATATAGGAGTCCTCTAGTGTTCCTTACCCAGTTAACACAAAAGGGTTGTTGTATATTTAGCTTTACTGGCAAGAATGTACAACTATTTCCACCCCTGAACATGAATGAATATACCTGGACTCTACCAGTGACCTCTGTCTCTGTGCTGGGGGTCGAGATCTGTCTGAGGGATTTTCCTTCTCCTCTCCCTGTTTCTTCTGCAAGGTTTTCATTTATAGCCATAAAAAAACTCCACACGACGCTCCTCTTTCTCTCTGCCATGATCTCCATCACTGCAACCTACAAGTATCGATACGCTCCCAGCGCCGCTGAGTCACATGACGGCACGACTCCAAAACAGCTTAGCAGGAGAGGAAAAGGAGCATAGTGCGCATGCGAGATGTGAAAGTAGCAGTGTTTGCAGAGACATGTCTACTTTTTGATGAAACGACAGCAACGTACTGAACATAGAAGAGAGAAGTATCGATCCCCTCACGCTAGTATCGATTCGATACCAGTACTAACGTTGGTATCGATACTATCGATATTTGGGTCAATCCGCCCACCCCTAATTAGGACGAGAATCCGAATCAGAGTTTTCTGGAGCTTTCGACTCCTTGCCGCTGGAATTCACAGAGTCGACTCCTGGAGTCCACTTTATTTTACCCAGTACAGCTCCATAGCCGGCAATAAAAGGACAAACCATCCTGAACAGAGTGCACCCTGTTGGAGTAGCTACAGATTACAGTGCTATATGCTGAAATCATCACTTCACATGAGGACTGATGTACTGAGAGAATCATTCCTATAGTCAGAATTCTTTGAAAGTGGACCAGCTGGATGTTATATTTTTCCTCTTTTCACAATTATTCTGCAGCTTCTTATTCAACTTGTCCAGTCCACCTTAAGTGATGCAGCTGTGACAAGGCGCAAGTGTATAACGCAGTGCCATTTAAGGTGGAACGAAAATTTGAATAAGAAGCTGGTAAAAAAGGGCAAAATGTCAGCTTCATCCTCTTTTCCACAAAGCTCCGTGAAAAGTAGCGTTTGTTTCTGATATTCTTTGCTTGTTCCGTTCCTAATAATTGTTCGCTGTGCCTCTAAACATGAAGAGAATGCAGAGCCTCGGTGCGGGAGGATCTAAACCGTTCTTGTGTGAGCAGAGTTTGTTCTTACGGCGGCTGGTGACGAGTGTGGGCGTGGTTTAGTCAATTGTGATTTTAAAAAACACGGAATCGACTCCAAGCATTTCCAAAGAGTCGACTCCGACTCCAAAACGTGGTGGAGTCTAAGATTCGGTTCTGTTAGAATCGGCTCCACATCACTTATAATGATGATGCTGTCAAGCAGCTTTGAAGAAGCGTAGCGTTTGGTCTCATATCATACATGTGAGAAAATGGGTTTCTTTGGTCCCGGTCTGATCCCACCTTGACCTCCCTCTCTCTGGTTGTTCTCGTGGCAGACGCGGCAGGTGGGCCGTACAGAGCTGAACAAGATTTCTAGGAACAAAATGCAGATGAGATGTGAAAGAAACAGGAAACCACGGCAGAACAATACGTGGCTGCTAAGAAATGTACCTGCAGGTAAGAGGTTCTGTCCTGACACACAGACATCATGAGTTTAATGAAGTTGGTCTGCTTGTAGAACAGCTTAGTACAGATTCTCCTTTTTGGAAAACTCACGGACTTTCCTTTCAGCACACCTCACTTTATGTTGCCTGTCTAAATGACAGTGATCCCACACTTGAGACCCGGGTCTCTTTCGTCCATGGTGGATCTGTTTAATTACTGGAACAGTGTCTGTGATGTTTTCTGTCCGTGTCTGTGTCACTCGGTCACTTAGTCCCTCTCGAGGAAACCCTTCTATTTTTTTTCTTTTTCCCCTTCATGGTTTCGGTGGCACCTCAGTTATCACGTGACTGCTGCTTGAGTTGAGGCGCAGAGACATTGTATCGACACAGTGCACACCGCAAGTGTCAGCACTGCTTTGAAGCGCGTAACATCCTCAACAGGAGCTACAGAAGACCGAGGGTCCCGAGAAAACCTATTTCCCCGCGGAAAATCGACTACAGCCTTGCCGCAAGTGAGTTTGTGAGTTATGTGTCTGAATTTCTGAAAGAGCTGTGAGCTGTGTTAATTATTCTTTTGATTTTTTCCGGATATTAGACGAATGGCCGAACAGCCCGATTAGCGGTCTTGTTGGCTGGATAGCTCACCAGCTAGCTGCTTGTGAGCGGTGAGCGTGTGAGCCGGTGAGCCGGTGAGCGTGTGAGCGTTGAGCGTGTGAGCTGTGAGCCGGTGAGCTGTGAGACTCGCCGCTGCGCTTAAGTTCAGAACACGTTAGCTGTCAGCTGGCTAACCGTACCCAACTTGGTCTCTGGCCGTCTTGTCTGGCGTTTACAGGTTGTGGGCTTTTCAGCAGGTCATGTCCAGCCGAGTGGCGATATATTTAAAAAGGGAACCGTCATGCAAATAACCGTGGTCAACGGTGTTTATTATTCTTTTTATTTTTTCAAGATATTAAACGAATGGCCGAACAGCCCGATTAGCGGTCTTGTTGGCTGGATAGCTCACCAGCTAGCTGCCTGGTTACAACGGCCTGAGATGTTACAGTTCAGTAGTTACGGTTCAGTAGTTACAGTTCAGTAGTTAAGGTTCAGTAGTTACAGTTCAGTAGTTAATACACAGACCTACACACTAAAAGGCGTTAAGTTTACACTCTGGTGCACTTGTTCACGTTTGTCGTCGACTTCACTGTTTCTTTGAAACAAGGCTAAGTTTTCCATTCCACCTTAAACTGCTACCGTTAGCACAGCACCGGGTCCAGCGGCAGCAGTAACCGACACACCGTTTTAAGATGGAACGGTGGAGCTAACTTCAGCGTCGTGTTCATGTTGTGGCTGGGAGGGAGAGAGAGAGAGGGAGAGGGAGAGGGAGGGAGGGAGAGTGAGAGAGAGAGGGGGGCAGGAACAACAGCCGTAACAATCATGGAGGCTTTCTAGAGAAAGTTGGCTGTATTAGAAGATCCTGTGGAAATCAGGGGCTCCTTGTTCGCATAAAACCTGAGACCCATTAAAACATTAAAATCACGACGATCTGCCAGTTGTAAAAAGAAGAAAGAAAGAAAATGTAGACATTAATTTCATTGGCCATAACAGAAATGTATCCACTTTTGATTTGCCTTACTGTGATATTCGTGCAGTAAACATGCTAATAACTTCATACACGCTCAATTAAGCCAATTATAGATTAGTTAAATACACAGACTGACTCAATCAGAGGCGCTGAGACAGTGAGGCTGTGTTCTGTGATTTGGCTGAGAGCAGCTTCTGTAAGGTGGGATGGAGAGGAAGATCTATCGTTGCTAATAGAGCTGGACAATGTAACTGTTACTGTAATACATGTTCTCATGATACACAGTCTGCTTCTCTGAGTGTATCAGCTCAGTATTTATGAATCTGTGTGTCTCAGTCATTCAGTATGTATACATGCACCCAGTAATCAGATCATAATCAGATTTCTGCAGTTATCCAGTCATTCAAATGGTCATGTGAACATCACACTCTGATCTAGAAATCTGATTAAGAAATCCGAATTTTAGCTCAGTAATCTGATTTCTCATTGCATGTAAGCTTTTACTATGATTTCTATTGGATTTCTCAGTCTGCGCATGCGTGAGATCGGACTGTGGATGTCGCGAAACACAGCAAAACACTGTTGAAGCGGTTTGAGATTTACATTATGTTTACGTCACGTTGTGTTCTGTGAGCTTATTGGCTGGTTGCAAAGCAGAAATCTGATTACTGTCTGACTCACGTAGACCTGGAGTTTCACATTGTCTGATTACCCAAGTGCATGAAAACGTGTTGATTGGATTACTGACGATATCTGATTTTCTGCAGTTATCGGATTATTAAGTGCATGTAAACGAACTCAGTGTTTTATGTGCTTGAGTACCTGTTTAAGGGACACAGATTCCTCCAGCGCTGATCTGATTGTACAGCGATTTCCAGTTCTTGAGAGCAGCACTGATAT